TTTGCGTTGGGTCTTGCAAGGCTCCCCTAAAGGAGGCATTTGGCGAACCTTCGATTCCTCTCCAAACTTTTTTCCCCTCCCTTACTCGTTGAAGTAAATTTTAGAGTTCCTCTAAGTCATCATACCCGTTCCATTGTTTCTTCTCACATCCCTCAACTCCCTTACTCATATGTCCCCATGTTCCGTTTTTCTCGATCACTTTTCGCTAAACAGAATTGTTTGAGTATACGTTATTTATTGCAGATATATTTAATCTGTATTAACTGGACCTCGTCTGTCAATGTACATGAAATAAAATAATAGTGATACACGACAGTCACGCCGAGGGAACGCGGAAAATATATTTGTCTCCTTATCGAAGCGATTTCGCTAATCGGTTTCTGGCCGCGTCTGTGCTTTCAGGTTGGCCCGGCCATCGATCATCGCCGACACGGCCATGAACAAAGACAAGAGGGCCTCGACTGTCAGCAGTTCGACGACGATGACGTTCATCGTGTCCAACGGACCCAGCGGTGGCGGAGTGCTTATGTCCAACGCCTGTCAGAGTCGAATGCTGAACGTTCCCTCGGAAAATCCCGTCTAAAGCTTTCCCACTTCGTATCTTGGTATATATATATGTGTATAAGTTTTATAGTATTTTAGTTTCTGTCTGTGCGATAATGTACAGTAATTATTATTCTGTCGTTAATATTAATTTTGTTTCTATTCTAATGAATAGAAACTTCTTTTTTGTTTTTTTTTTGTTTCTATTTTCTCGATGTTTCAAAAGGGTTTCAAAAACTCCTCTGCATTCAGCCCGTCCGCATATATTTATTTCCCGCCACCGATCGTATACGTGGCCCATAGGTTCATTTTTGCACCGGAAGATGTTTTCAATTGCATTACCCGCAGCCTCTACTTTGGCACTCGTAACCGCACCCCGTATATAGGTTATTAGGTCCGATCGTTTGCGAATAGATTCTCATTCGAAATTTATTCATAATATTTTAGCCGTAAATAATAATAAAAACATTTATTTTTTTTTATGTTTTAGCTTTTGAGTGAAACGAGGAAACTGTTATACTGTATTATAGTTTCACTAAGAAATCACTTTTTCGGTTAGTAAAAACGCCCGGCACAGATACTTTATCCGAAACTTTTTTCTAAATTCGCTGCAGTTTTCCTGCAAACATTTTGAAAGACCGTAAATAACAAAATATACGCGACGATACACCGATTTTCGAATATAATAATATAATATAGAACGTAATAGAAATCTGGCATTTCATACAGAATTTTGAATTTCAATTCGTATACAGGGGCTCACATAGTTGACATCAGTCTTTGCTGCATTTTTTGTTTGTTTGAAAAATCTACTTTCACTGTTCAAGCTAACCATTGAACGTCGAGTTCCATTCAAAATCGTGTTTTGTTCGCAAAGATTCGTAAACTGAAATTATCCTACATTATGATTACCTACCCGTAACATCCCGTTACAAAAATGTGATCTACCCGTGGTGCGAAAAATATCCCCGGCTCTCAAATACAAAAGCAATTCTCGTTGTTTAAGTACCTACATAACAATAATATTGTATTGTAATAGCGATGTAATCATATTATAACAAACGAAAGTTTAAAAAAATGAAACAACTACAATACCGTATATTTCTATTCGAATAGTTTGGCCAACTCTGTTTTCGCGTCTCCTTATTTTTCTGAATTCCGAACGCGTATGTTTGTTTTCTCCACGTGTGAACTTATATATGGGTGTATGTGTTTTTTTTTTTCTACAAAAACGTGCGAGTATATGGTTTTTCGTTTGACGCGTTTCCCTCGCCGTAAATTCGGTACTTTTATCGGGAAACAAAAACGATTTCGCGTTTTTCGCATTCCCGACTATCTTAATAACAATAAAAAAAAAAAAAAAATGAAACAATATTCAAATGATGACGCGACGTGACAACAAAATAATATTTCGCAATCGATTTTATAACGGGAATTGTAAAATACGCCAAACTTTAAAGAGGCGGGTCGGTATATACCTTATGAAATTCGAACGTGCCAATAATATTAGTATAATGTAGGTATTGTCGTTATTCGGTACATTATTTCCGCAAACGCTCAAATTGTAAATAATGCACACGCGGAACACCGCGTCTCGGACGTCACGCCGCACTTTCCGAAGAATAATAATAACAATTTTAACAAGAAAAAAATAAATAAATACGTTTTATAATTTTTCGATAATGGTCTGCGAGATGCCGTTGAAACGAAACGCCGTTGTCCCGTGATCCTCGGACATTACACGCAATGATACGCTGCAGACGGGTACATATAATATTCAATAGAATCGACCGAAAAACACACTACGCTTTTCGCTCTTTGTCCGGTTGTCCGAGTACATCGAAATATTCGCAAAAGTTTGTACGCGAGTCATATATCCGACACGACAACTTGTTTCAAACATTGTACCCGTTTACTCGGTTTAATATAATATCCGCGCTGCGAAATCTTGCAGTGATAAAGACAGTGGTTTTCTTACGCGATCATCGACGGCGCCAGCCGGCAGCGACGTTTCGTTGTTTTGCAGCATACACAGATTATATACCTATAATAATAATAATAATAATAATAATAATAATAATAATAATAATAACAATAATAATATTTCTACTTGCGCGTATTACGGCTTGATACGGGCGTGTGGGGAATGAAAACCGCGCAGATATTATTTAGTGTATTATATACGTATCAGTTACTTATGCTCTGAGGTTAAACATAAAAATTGAAAAATAATAATAAAACTCGCGTGTTCCTTATATTCGTTTCACCGAGTACATATTGCGATTTCGTCTGCACATTATTGTGGTGCCGTTTTTTTTTTTTTCATAAACGTTCAATTATCACAATATAACAATTAACGGGCGAAAATATCTACGGTTGAGACGGCATTATTCAAAATACGCATACCCTCCCCCCGTCCCATTGTAATATAATAATGCGATTACGTTTAAAATTACTAGACATAGATAACCGACTGCGTGTTTGCGTATATAATGTTATTGTTACACACGACGTGGAACCGCGTAAGAGGTACGCCGCCGCGCGTATGATACCGAGAGGACGAATCGTATCGAATTGTATTTTCGCGCAATATTATGTGTTCGCGATCGATGATTTCAAATACGTTTTGTACAATCTCATAATTTGCGGCACAAACGAATGTGCGCGGCGTACCCAATGATCGATCGATGAAACTCGACTCCCCCCCCCCTCCCACCAATCGGTGTAATTGTAATATGCTATAGGTGCGTACCGACCGATCTGTCGGTTTATACTACGCGGTTCAGTTCCGATAACGTTTATAAAAAAATAAATTCATATGTATTTACTTATCCGGACAAAAATGACTGTGCAAAACTATAAGATTATGTGCCGGCCGTGCCATATTATAATAACACAATACGAGCAGGCACGTTGAACAACCGGACTTATTGGTATGGTTTTGTTTTGTTTTTTTTTTCTTTTTTATAAGCGTGTCAAACAATGTTATATCATTAAATGTATTTGTTGGTGTTTTTTAATATTACAATATTATTGTTTATCATACTTACATATGCGCATCACCCGTTTGCCGGTGAATATAACTAATCGAATATTACTACGTGTTTATTGTTATTATTGATGTAATGTTTTTACGATATTTAATAATTTTAATTGATTTTAATTACCTGTATGTTTTTTTTCACGTTTGCCTATATTTGAATAATGGTATTTTAATTTCCAACACAAATATCTATGTATAATTCCATATTATATTTATCAATAATCTTAAGATTTACGTTTATATTACCTAAATATATCTATAATTATTAGTATATATTTTAGTTTTAAGTGTGAAACAATAGGTATATACACCTAATATACCTAATAATATAACGATTATGATTTGAAAATATTTTGAAATAATTTTTTTCTTTTTCAAATTAAATAATAAGTCAATAGTGGTTATACATTTTTAACTTATATAGTTACTTTTATTTAAAGATTTCAATTATTCGATGTTATTGATGTATAAGCATGCGTAATATGAAAAAAAAAAAAAAAAAAATTATATATTCAATAATTATAGATTAGAAAAATTTATCGTCTAAAATAATATTATAACATTAGCATCGTGAAGTGTGAAATCATATTATATCAAATGTATTTGCAGTTACCTACCTAATACATAAAAAATATATACATGTACTTATACGTTGTGCCTGTACGTTATTTCTGTCTGTCCTGAAACCCTAGTTTTGCCGATAAAACGGTTTGTATTTTATGTTTTACGCATGTGGTGTAACGAATAAACATTTTAAACAATAGACGTAAAACACAAAGAAACTTGTACTTGATTTTCGTATAAATCATTTTTTTTTTTTTTTTATTAAAAACTCAGTCATTTATTTTTCATTAATTGTCATATAATATGTGGTTATTAGGTTTTATTTAAAGTTTTACCGAGCTCTTTTTTTGTTTTTGGGGCCTTGGAATTTTGTGAGGGCTCTTGACACCCTTCTCCCTCAATCATTCGGCTCTGGCAATAAAGAAAAAAATAACCTGAAAATCGAAAATAGTCGGTGTTTACTCGAAAAAGATAATAATCCAAGGAAGGAAAAGAGGTTATGAGTGTTTCTTGACAAACGTTCGTCATTCTCGAAATATCAAAACAAAAAACATATTTTAATATTTAATTTTCCTTTTGTTTGGAAATGCGCAGCAATACAAACATGAAAGTTGAACATTTTCAAAAAGTCTTAAACTATGTGTAACAATGTCTGTACAATGCACAGATGGAAATATAAATGCGAGTATAAGAATTCATTTGGCAGGAAACTGACACGTTTAATTATTAATATTATGTATTTTTTTAATCTTAATAGCAATTAAAAAGTCCAAAGTTTGAGTTGCATAATCTGAAAACATTTTTAATTATCATTATATTATTATTATCACCATATTTGAATTTATTTTACCTCTATAGGACCGTCGTCCATCTTACAACCAATTCTCTAGTCATCCTTAAATCCATCTTCTAAAATGTTCACATTTTTTGTTACCACGTCATTCTACGTAATCTTCGGCCTTTCCGTTTTTTCCTATTGGATGTTCTGTTCAAACATTGCTAAGGCAGGGGTTTTAGACTTCTCCGTGCATGGCGCAATCCTCCTATTTTGGCTTTAAAATATCGTTTTCTCCATACGTTTTCTATATAGCTCTTTGATTTCTTTCGGCTCACTCGCCGGGTTCAAATTATCCTTTACTGCTTCAAAGGCCGTCTACAAAATTTTTTTTTCTAAGAGGCCCTTACAATTCATTTTCATCAGTTTTTTCAGGGGTTAAGATTCATACAATACTACAGGTCATAGGCGTAAGACATAACTGTTTTTTTTTTTTTTGTTTTGTTTTTCTTGGCAGTGATCGTAAACAACTTTATAAATAATAAAATATTTGTGTATAAAATTATAAATACAGTTAAGTAATTCGCAATAGAATTACGTATTGCTCAAATCTAATGTTTTGTTTTAATTTCGTGAAATATTTGAGAAAAAAATTATCGGTTTAATTAAATGCATAGTACTTACCTACCTAAATATTTCGTTATTTGTAATATATTTTGTAATAATATTGTGTTTATCAGAGTTTTAGTCTCTCTCAGTATCATAATATTATCTTGGTCTTACCAAACGGTAGTGTACAGTAAATAGTCGCATAATTAAAATGGATAAAAAGAGACAGTTGAACAGCGAAAAACAAATACAAAAATAATTAAAAATACAAAATTTGAAGATAAAATTCTTTGATGATTGCTAGCAGCTGCGTACGCATACATATGGAGTGTACTCGACCCGTTTTATTTTTTCAGTTATTATAAAGTGGTATTGTTGGGATAGGGCGTATTCCGAAAAACTGTACGTTATTTTTATATATAACAGTTACTCCGAGGTAATTATATCGGCCGCTAACGTTCGTAAATCCACAATCGTTGCAATGCGCAACCATCTGCGGCTTCTATATGACTACGAAAAAGGTATACGAAATAGATTCGGCCGTATGCGTCATTAATCACTGCTGCAACGGTCGTCCATTTAATGAGCTTCTACTAGACGCTGACCGACCGGTGCAAGGTAAGAATAATATAATGGCACCGGCACATTATGCTAGGACTCAACAACTAGAATAAATATTTTGCTAAGAATTTGCTAGATTTTGTTAGGTCATTTTTGGATTTTGGTATGGCCCACAAACTTCGGAAATCCACAAACAAACATGCTGGTGCTATCTTTGTGGCTGCACCGGCACATTGTCTGAGTCCAAAAGAAATTATGCCAAAATATTCAGATTGATTTGCTAGATTTTGTTAAGGCATTTTTGGATTTTGCTAGGACCTCTGTCGGTTTCGGGTGAGGTTTCAAATTTTAAACTGATTGTAAAGCAAATAAAATTTACCTCAGTATTAGGTATTGATAAAAACAAAAGGATTAAATACTAATATAGAAAACAGATGTATGATGATCAGTATTGTCAGTACCTAGGTATTACAAATAATAATAATAACGATATAATGATTAACTTATCTTTATTATATCGATCAAATTTAAATTTGTTTAATAGTGGTTAAAATGTACCACGTATACAGTTTTTTAAATTTGATGATAAACTTTGTATATCGGAGCAAAAATTCTGTTAGAAAAGTTAACAGTATAAAAAAAAATACGGACATACTTCATACAGTGGGTGGACGACAAGAAGTTGGAATGGTAGGAAGTGGTATAGAGAGAGTAATTTAAACAATGATTATACATTGCTAACGATTAACGATTCTGAGAGAAAAATTGCTTTTTTAGAAATATATTTTTTATATAATCATAAAATATAAATTTATTGAAACAATTTATATCGACTGAAAACTAGATTTGTTCGTCATTAATTTTTACTAAAACGATTTTCGTCAAAATTTGATACTAGAATTCCAATTTCCAGACCGGCCACTCTCCATCCCTGAGTAAAGGGTGAGTGAGGGTGAGTTCTAGCAAATTCCTAGTAAAATATTGATACTAGTTGTAAAGTCCTAGCATAATGTGTCGGTGCCAACTCGACGGACATAATAATATAATGTTATTTCCGTACAAAAGTTCAAGCGTTATTATTTACGATCTAAAATTTAGTCAAATTGTGATTTTATAACGGACTTTTTTAATATTTATACGGGGATAATACGTTTTGATACATCAATCCAAACATAGCACGTATGCAATATCTTGGTGATATTAAGATCAGAATTTCCGTCATAAACGAACTTCAAACGATTATAGAAATAATAAATCACGACTACTGTGATTCTTGGTGTATTGTTTTTTATCATCATAAGAACTACTTAAGATAATGTGAAACCTTGTACCTATCGACTTTGACTTTGGTTTAAGAGGCCGAAAAGACTTTTCGCATAATCTCACCTCCAACATTCTTAATAACTCAACATTTTTGAATAGATACATAAAATAACTTGACAAACACCAAAATATTTTAACAAAATGTACCACGGTCACGTAAATAAATTACACGTTGAAAATTTCAGGTCTCTCCGATCAATTTTCACTGAATTGCAAAAAAAAGACAAAATAAGAATAGATAAAAACCATAAATGTTTTACTTTTGATTCGAAGTATATCGAGGAACGTATTGTTGAATGTAATGTGTGTGTGTAAACAACTTTTACACCAGAAATCTTGTTTTAATCAAAAACTTTATAGGAACTTTTTCATAACAATTTTGATCTTAAAATAGTTTTCTAAAGCGGTTGTTTTTTGATTTCTTTTTTTGTAGTTACATCGATTATAAAATCGCTTATATGATTTTCGTTGATTTTCGGGTTACCTTGGTACACCTTTATCTAATTTGAGAACTCAAACGACCATAAATCGACCGGTTACAGAATTGCTCTCAAAATGTAGACAGGACTTCTTCACTCTTGTAGACCTTGTCTTTACCGACCGCAAATCAATCGGTTACAGACCAGACTCGGAACCGTACCGCGGCTACTCGAAATAAACGATGTTTCGCACTAGCTAACAAAAACTTCTTTATTGAAATAAAATACAAAACGCACGAAAACACGGGTCACTCGAAAACAATGCGCGCACTATACGCGTCTCGACCGAAAACCCGCACTGACCCGTTACCGCGGTGGCTCGCGTTCTTAAACATTATTCACATTGCGCGGCCCGGGCCCGTTCGCTCCGTCGGCCTGTACAACAACAGGCGTGCAAAACCAATCGGATAGCCGAACGCACAGCCGATATGACGGTAGAGACACGGAGTCTCACGTGGGGCCGGCGATAATATGTTATAAATGGCACTGAAACGTGGCGCGATTAATGTCGTATTGGTTGGCCCGCGGCAAACGCGTTCGTGCCGCGGTGTATATTATACGACAGGTTTACGTTCGAATACCCGTCCGTAATAATATTATCGCACAATATATTTCGCGGCGGCGTAAACAAATGTCGAATCGCGAAATGATAATCGACGAAATTCGCGCCGAGCCTCAGATTTGCTCGCGCAGGTGTATACACGGTCGGCTCTCGCCGATATCGTTGCACGATTTGTAACATCAGTCGCGGCGGGGGGGGAGGGAGATTCGTGGGTGTATTTGCACAGACTGACAGTACGGCGGCGGCGGCGTACGGTAATAACATACTGCCCGTATAATAATATTATCGCGATACTTATTTCGTTCGAGTCCATTGTCGTTGTTTCGCGTATAATATCTACACGCGGATGCTATTCAAATATGGCGAAAAGGATGAGAAAGGGGGGTCGGGAAGAGGGGGCGGGGTGGTAGTTAAAATAATAATACGATATTAAATTGCGCCGCGGCGAACAACAAAAACGTACTTACTCGAGATCCGAATGTCGCGAATTCGCGGGACTCAAATATTGTTATTTCGCCGGGACGACGACGAGTTTGAATTAATACATTTACGCGCGTTCGAATAACAATACCTGCACCCGTGTTTTGCGCGTGTGTATTTGTGTGTGTGCACGTCGCATTACATTATAATGTTATCGCCTCATTGTAGTGTATCGTTTTTATCGCGCGCGCACGCACGCGCGCGCACATACGCTGTAGTATACGTTCTAATACAGCCGTGCTCCGCTATAAAGGTACGAGAAACACCGAGTACCTACCGCGAATTAAGATAAACGGGATATCGAACGGAAAGGGCTTATCAATGTTTTCCCGAGTCCGCCCGGTTCTCACTGTTTGGCAAGACAGCTAGCGCTTTTAATAGAAAGTTACTATGAAACCAAACTAAAACCGGTAAGTTTAGACTGGAGGGGCAGGGCGTATAATAAATTGCATATTTATTCTATCAAGGCCTTAAACTTTTCTATAATAAATATTGACATAGTTCGTAAAAAGTACATTGGACGGTGTTGGTGGCCTTGCCAAAGTGTGAAAAGGTTCGAGCTTCAATTACCACACGTTCGTTCGGTATCCTGTATATCTTATTCGTGGTACTTACCTATGTATTGCGGGACATTTTTTTTTTTTTTGATGACTTACGAAGCAAGCGTAGTTTTTTCTAAAATGTTACGGTTCCGTTATGGTTTTGTCGCCCTTACTTTCAGTACCACAGTTTGCGGGGCCCGAGGCATAGCTTTTTTTGCTGAGTCTACAAAAAAAATATGACTTCTTATCGATTGTAATTATGTATTTAAAAAAACGTCCTAGGTTAATAGGGTCGGGCGCAGCCACTGTTATAAGTAATTTATTGTATAAATAAATGTGTTTGTTCTGTTTTGTTTTTTTTTTTTTATTTATTTTATTATTATATTTATACCTGCTTTCCGTGTAATAATTTGTCGTACGGATATTGTCTTTCGGCGAGTTTATTATTTATCTGTAGTTACAGTAAAATCTCGTTCTTCGAGATTACTGTGTTTTTATCGGTGGTTTTCATATAACGCCCACAGTGTTTGGCCATCACAACAGTCAACATAATAAACGTAGTTCACGTAGAAGACAAGTTTTAACTACGTTCTTTTTAGATTCCGAGCGTAGCGAGGGAGCTATTCGTTTTACAGTGCTGTTTATTTCTTTGTTCTAGTCTGTGGACACGTTTTTTCCTAGTAAACTTGCTTCGATTTTTACGTGTAGTAACTTTTATAAAAGCTCGAGTTGTCTAGTTTGTACCTAATAGAGGTCACTTTTTATGTCATTTTTTAAATAAAAGCACTTAAGTACAATTTTACGATTTCATTATTTTATAAAAACACGGACGACGTTTTCTACCAGAAAAAATGATTTAATCGAAAAATCACAAGACACCTTTTTTGTTGCCTTTTTGATTTACTTTCTTACGGTATCATTGCTAAAAATTTTCAGCCACTTTTCAGCTTTTAAGGAATTTTAATTTTTGGGAGTTATTTTGCTTGGTAATAATACTTATATTGGACTTAGACATAGTAAAATTTCTAAAATCATTGGACGACTTTTTTTTTTAATAAGCGTTTTGGAATTAAATTTAAACGAAAATTCCAAAAAAATAATATGACACTTCAAATTATGTATTACTGATCTGCGCTTGGAATCGTTTTTCGTCAAGCAATGGTTTATTATAGCTTACAGATATAAATGAAATAATCGTATGTATTCTACCTTCTCAACTCCTCACCTATAACAATGGCCGCTCCCATCACAAGTATCAGCTTTTTTTTTTTTTTTTCGATGGCGTAATAAGAATAGAAATATGTATTCGAAGACTTTTCGATTGTTGGAAGATTTGACTCGTGGTTTTTTTTTTTGGTGTAATATGGCATAACATGTAAAGTATAGTCGTACCGTCGTACGACATGGTCTAATACAGTGTTAAATTATTTTTCTTTAAATTTAAATACTGTTTTTAGGGCAAAGAAGTATTTATTAGCTACATACCTGAGTATAGTAAAATAGTTTCATAATTTTATAAAGAACATTGTCCATTGTTTTGTATATTTAATTAAAGCTGTTCGATTATTTTTTGTTCTAGATTAATTATTCTTATTAACATATAATAGAAAATATCGAAGAATTAATTAATTAATTAATCACTAATCGTTTTTATGAATAATCATTGTTGTATAATCTGACTAACATATTTATTATGATTAAAAGTGAAACTAAATAATCCCCTCCCCCATATGAAAAATGGCAATGAAATAATTTATATTATTATATTTATGACGGAAAAATTAACCTATGCAGTGTTTTAATAATGTGTTGTTAAAATTTCCATGGTTTTGTATTTTAATATAGAAAATTAATTTCTGATTAAACTAAATATTTGAACAGTCCTAAAGTTTTAATAGGTTAGATAATTTCCAATAAAAATTTTAAAATTTTAGTTAAAAATGTTCAACAAGTTTAAGATTTCAACTAAATTAACATAAAATAATTAATATAACCTAGAATCATAGATATTAGACTATATAAAAAAATTTTTTTATTCCCTTCGCTAAACAATGTGGCCTCTAATAAAATTGATAATATTTGTTTCTAAATTTGCTGTTTATTTAAAAACCCCTATGATACATAAGTATAAGTATTTATTGAGAATTAATTTACGTTCTTCTGTTGGAACAGTACAGAGTTTTTTCTTTACGACTTTTCCTTCCCCCTGCGAAATCCTGAGTACGACACTGGTGTATTGTTGTTGGTACTTTTGAGTTACGTTGCGGTGGCACGAGGAAGATTACTAGGAATCAAAAATCCGATGCACGTATCATATCGTGTATACGATTTAACATATAAAAGATGCTTTATCTAGTCATAAACAGATGATAATAATATTACGTGTCGTATTTCCTTTGAGATCAAAGATATTAATTATTATTATTTAACAGACGTGCATTTGAATACATTGAAAACGTAATATACTACAAGAAACATCGGTTTACAATGTTGTGGATGGACAAAATTTACAAATTTCGAATGATTCGCGGAGAAATTAAATTATGATTCGAATTTGGTGAAAACTCGAAAATTATCACGATACAATTAGTATCGATTGTTTTCAAAATGTTAAAAAAAATATGTCTCGGGGCATCATTTCGGTTTTTTTTTTGAGTATGCGAATTCTCAAGCAGGCTATTTCGAAATTT